TAAAACTAGGATCTTTAGGACTCCTTATAATATTAAGGCTTTATGTGTTGAATCAAAAATCAATATCATAAATTCATAAAACTGAAAAGGAGATTTCAAAATTTTGATTTGATGCTATCGCCCTTACAGGTAAACCTGGGGACAGAAGGTCAAAAATCAGAATTAATATATGAATAAAAATTTTTGGAGGTATAAACTATCTTTTTTAACATGTGTTTTATCTTTGATGTTGGCCACACTCACCCAAGAGAGAATTGCATAGAGGGACAAACAGAAGCAAAGGTAGTTAAGACTACTAATGAAACAAAATTTCATCACTATTAAAGATGAAGAGAGAGATTTGTCCCACCGGGCGTGCCATTTTTTATTAGTGGAATTTTGAAAGAATATTTTGAAAAGCTTAGTTTTCTTTGGGAATTTAAAATTAAAGTCAAATTCTAATTTTAAAATTGAATTATCCCACTAGAAAAGTATACCAACTCAGAAGGAGGAAATAAAATATCAGGATGGGATTTAGATTTAGAATCATGAACCTCATCTTGAATATTGTGACCAGATTTAAAAGAGAACTTCATATGGCTCCAAAGGGCTAAAATGAGGTTCAACTAAATATCCAGCTGCAATAATCAAGAAGGGTGATCATTAAGTTCATATCCAAAACTTTCTTGATGAAAGATATATCTCCCCAAAGGGAAAAAATATTATTCGATGATAATTCTTTGAATATGATGATAATGATCATTAATAATTTATTTTTTTTCAAAGAAATTAATTTAAATTTTGAAAATTAGGTGTGTGTGTGATTCTAAATCTCTTACGAGCGCAAGCCCTCTTAGTTACTTATATCATAGGGAGACAGAGTCTCCTACGAAAACTCTAGATTAAAATAGTGGTGAAATTTTGTTAAAGATTTTCTATGAGTGATACAAAAAGAGGTGAATTTTTGGATTTTCAAAGGTGAATAGATCAAAATGGAGCACTTATTAATAGAATAAATGGAAGAAAAGTAAGGGATATTTTAAGATTCCAGAACCATCCAGAAGTGTTCCAACTTAGTCTTATATTTTGGATTGAAATGAGATTTAATTAGAGTTGAGCATTTTATTAGAAACTTGGGATTATATTGTTAGATGTTGCGGTCTTATAATCAGAGATTTGCCCAGATCCTAGATCTAAATTTGGACACTATACCACAGTCATCCGAACCTAACTCATGTAGTGTAGAACCTGGACTTACCCCAGCCAGGATTGGGAAGCCAGTTAACCACCTAATCGATTTAAAATACATAAATTTGGTCTTTTTATGAAAGATTTGTAGGGACATTTTCTTTAAGGTTTTGGAGAGCTGAGGCTGACATCTAGATATTTTCCTAATTGGCCCCTTTGACTTATATTGGGTGAAAAATTCTAAGGACTAATGCAATTAAAATTTTGACTCTTTTAAATGTGTTTCTAATGCAATGCATGCTAGTCAACAACTTGAAATCATGTATACTAGAAAGTTAAAAATAGGCTTAAAAATAATTTTTTAGAAGACTGCGCTTCCCCAGGTCCGGCTCCTCATCATCATAGGTCAGATTATTCGAACTCTACCCGTAGGCAGGGAAGGTTCTAAAGCAAGGAGAAAAGGAGTGCAAGAATATGCAAGCGACCCTGATGGCGGTCCCCAGCTAATTCTCTAGATTCATTATCTTTCTATTTTATTTAACTCCCTAAAATTTAAACATTTTGATTATGAGTATAAAACTTTCACATCCTTACGAGTCTCATGTATTTAGGTAAAAACAAAAGTGGCACATAAATGCCAAAAAACTAGAAAAAATAGGCAATCTTATTAACACATCAAATATAAATGAATTAATTAATAAATGTCCATAGGCAAATTGCCTTGCTTATAACAAACTAGGGTCTGCAGAAAGTAAAGTGGCTGGGCACCACTGACAACAACCCGGATTCTAAACCTAATAAAGACACAAGTGGCTTTGAGTGGGATACTCTTTTCTTTAGTTCTTTAATCTTGTTCTCCTTTGGGCTTCTTTCCTTCAAGCTCCTTCGATCCATCGTAGTAGGCTACCCAAATGAATAAAAGGGTACTTCCTTTAAGGGGATAGCCACTCTTTCCTCTTTGGGTAAGGAAGAAATGATCCAAATTTGGATCTCCAAATAGAAAAGGGCTACTCCCCTAAGCGGTGTCCATTTCTATTTGGAATCCAACCTTTGGATCTATGTATCCCAACTCAAAACTTCACTTTCACAACACTTAACACTTACATAAATTACATTTAATATGAAGTAAAATTCTAGACTCTCCTAAAGGTTTATCCTAAGCAATTGATAAATAAAAAATGTATTCCTAAGAAGTTATATATATGCAAAAAAATAAATAAACGCGTTGGCCATGCTCTTTTTATTATTTGGGGGCTTTAGCAGCTGAAGTACCTATGCAAACATATTTATAATTAATTTTTATTTAGCCCCTTTTTATTACCCTGCATGAGCATGGCCACCTGCAAAAAACTCAGTGAACATCCAAATTGTTATTATCCTAAGGATAGTCTAGTCGCCAAACACAATAATCATCCACATAGTGAATAAAAGGAAGCAAACACAGCAAGTATAATCATCCACAATATGTAATGAAATCACAAAAAAAAGCTGGCACACAACAGAAAAGTAAACACTGGCCTAGCCTAGATCTAGAGTCGGTTGTCCTAGCAAACCATCTAAAGTGTGTACTAAAGGTCATGTGGCTGGGGTAGATCCTAAGTTGGGTATTTAGTTAGAGTTATCTAGTATTTTAAATTTGTTAAGACTTAAGGGGAGATTTAGTCGCATTTTTGATCCAGCAGCCGTTTTGATTTTTTCTCCGGTGAACTGGCCGCCGGCGAGAGGCCTTTTCGAACTCTCGTGGCTATTATGGAGGGCAATCATCTACCTTTCACGGAAGTGTGGGCGAATTATAAGAAAGTTCTTTCTGTTCCAACAAGGCAATCGTCTGATGTTTTCAATGGTGGATCTAAAGCAATGGATCCATTCAACAGCAAGGTTAAAGGTTGTAAAGAAAAAGCTCTGATTATCAATGAAGGAGGTCTAACAATGAAGAAAGTTCCTATTTCTGTTCCAGGTAAAGGGAAAGGGATTATGATGGAAGAATTGAATCCCAATCTGGATTATTCAAATCTGAAACTCTTCAGAGGTAATTTTAAAGTTGATCTTAAATTGGAGGCTTCCTCTTCATCCGGTTTGAAAATTTGTTCTGATAAATGTTTTAATTCTGTTTCACTACCATCTTCTCCTGTTCATAAAATGAACTTTGAATCCCCTGTAACGGGAGTGAATAATGATCTTGAAGACAAGCTGAATGAAGATTTGTTGCAAAAGGATTTGTTTGAGAATCCTAAGGAGAAAAATCTTGATATCCATAACAAAATTATCCCTGAATTGAAGAAGAATATGTTGCAAAAGGATTTGATTGAGGATCCTAAGGAGAAAAATCTTGATGTCCATAATAAAATTCTCCCAGAATTGAAGAAGAATAATGCTAAAACTCTTTCAGCCTAGACGAAAAAAGAAAACATCAATATGGAGAATCTGGACCTGGGAAATTTCTTATCTGAAGATGGCTTGGTAGTTAAGCTTCACGCTGAGAAGGAAATGGAAAATTCAAGAAGACTTGATAAGGCTATTGTGGTAAAGGTGTTTGGAGACAACACTTCTTTTCAATCTATTTGTGTGGATTTAAGAAGACAATGGAGCATATTCGGTAATTTTCACATCACAGGCTTAAGACTTGGCTGGGTTCTTTGCTCCTTTGAAAATGATAGTGTTCCGGATAAAATCCTTTCTGGTGGACCTTGGTTTGTGAAAGGCCATGTGGTTTGACTAGATAAATGGTCAGCTAGTTTTAATCCCAATTCTTTAAAAGGCATTTCAACTCCTCTTTGGATAAGGCTTCCCAATCTTCCGCTCCATTGCTGGGATGATGTGAATATCTGTAGGATAGCTTCTCTTGTGGGAAAACCTTATCTCCTAGATGGAAATATGTTCCAATGGAGTAGAAGAGAATTTGCTAGAATTTGTGTCCGTGTTCCACTTGATATGAAATTACCTAATGGAGTTTGGGTAGAAGGTTTGAAAGGCAAATTCTTTCAAAAAATTGAATATGAGGGCGTCACTAGTATTTGTTCTAAATGTGGTATGATTGGCCACATTTCTGAAAAATGCATTGATATTAATAAGAACAAGGGTTCTTTTCCACAAGATGTTGGTGTGGACAAATTGATTCTCAATAAAGCAAAGGTCTCAGATGGATCTAAGCTTAATGAGGCGGCTGATGGATTTGGAAATTGGACACAAGTTAACTATGGCAAGAGAAGACACATAGTTGATGTAATGAAGAAAAACTCTATTAAGTTGAATGATCTTCCTATGAATAAGATCTTTGTTCCTAAAACTATTTTGAATAAAACTACTACAGCATTGGCTCCAGTTAACAGAACCGTGAAACAGTGATCAGAACTTCCCTTTTCCAATGTTGAAGATCCTTATTTTAAACCGCAAGTGGGACTTATTAATGTAACTTCTGAAGTTACTCAGGTGGCTGCTTCTAATATTGATCCTATTATCCTGGATCATATTAAATTTGAGGTATTATCCAGGATGGAAGTATTGAATGATGCAGGGAATGTGGAGCAAAATACGGATGGTATGACTGATATAGAAATTGAAGAGGGTGAAATAATCTATAGCAAGCTGGAATTCTTGAAGGAAACAGAAAATGTGGCTCTTATGGATGCAGATTTGAAACATGAGGTGACGAAGGACATCTATTCTCCTAAATCTGGAACAGTTAACAATCTTCTAACCATAGATATGATTAAAATTGCAGTTCCAGAGAAAGTTTCTTCAGGTAAAAAGGTTAAACTTCTAAAAGAACTGAAGTCTCTTGGCCCAGGAAACATCCTCTCTAGAAACAGAAGATTTGATGGAAGCAAATCTAAAAAGATTGGGAGTCATTCTCCCATCTTTAAACAATGACTTCTCTGGTTTTTTGGAATTGTAGAGGAGCCAAGAAAGTTGAGGCTGCTCTATATTTGAAAGAGGTTATTAAAGATAACAATGTGCTAATGGTGGGTTTATTGGAAATGAAAATCAGTAACTTGGATAATTCTCAGGTGCTAAATTTCCTGGGAAGCAATTGGGATTACTTCATGATTCCGTCTAATGGCTTATCTGGTGGCCTGATGATATTATGGAGAAAAGATTTGGCTATGTTCTCTGTTATTGAAGAATCTCCACAATTTATCATTGGAACTTTGAATGTCTTCAACAAAAATAATTGGCTGGTTGCTGCAGTGTATGGAAGCACCAATGCTATAGAGAGAAAGATTATTTGGGAGAGCTTGGAGAAGCATTGTTCAAATGAAATGCCTATGGTAGTGGGTGGAGATTTTAATTGTGTATTATCTCAAGAAGATAAGAGAGGAGGAAAGAAATTTATTTTATCTCAAGGTGCTATAGATATGAAGAATTTTTTGATAAATAATGATCTTCATGAAGTGGAAGCTTATGGGCCCAAATTTACTTGGTGCAACAATAAAATGGGTGGAGCTCGTATTCTGGAAAAGCTTGACCGTTGTTTTATAAACTCCATTGCTCTTAACTGTATTCACATTGCTCGGGTCAAGCACTTGGCTCGTATAGCTTCAGACCATTGCCCAATTCTTCTTGAGATCATCAAGCCTGCTGAAGTCTTTGATAGGATCCTACGGTTTGAGTATGTTTGGACCTCTTACTATGGAGCCAAATCTGTGGTTTCTAAATATTGGAAAATCGGTAAATGTGAGGATCCAACCATTTCTTTGAATTTAAAGTTCAAAAGAACTTTGAAAGCATTATATTTTTGGAGCAAAGCAAATTTTAAGAATCTCAATATGCTGAGAGATGAATTGAAAATTGAAATCATGGAACTTCAAAAAGAGGAAGCTGATGGTAGAATTTCTGATCCTAATCTCCAAGTTCTCAAATTCAAGATCAATGAACTCAACATTACTCTAGCCCGGCTCAACTCTTGGTGGAAACAAAGAGCTAAAGCTAAATGGATGGAGGAAGGAGATTCAAATTCATCGTTTTTTCATGCCTTTGCCAATGCTAGGAGGAACAACAACTGGATCAATATTATCAAGAATAAGTCTGGACTTATTACTGAAGATCCTATCCTAATTCAAGAAGCATTCTCTTATTTTTTCAAATCAAAGTGGCGCCACCGAGATTGTTCTCTGGATGACTGGCCATTGCCTTGGGCTGTCATTTCTAGTGATGATCAGAAATGTTTGGAAGCAGAGTTTACGAAGGAAGAAATGCAGGCGGTGGTTATCTCTTCAGGAAAAAATATTTCACCTGGTATTGATGGTATTACTTTCTCCTTTTTAAAATGCTATTGGGATATTATTCATAATGATGTTTGGTTAGCTGTAAACCAATTTTTTTCTACGGGCATTATGAATCATACTTGGAAGGAGACTATGATTGTGTTGATTCCTAAAATCAAAAGTCCCTTACTTCCTTCCAATTTTTGTCCGATTAGTCTTTGCTTGACCATTTACAAGTTAATTGCCAAAATGCTTTTGAATAGATTGGAGAAAGTTATTCATAATCTCATTTCTCCTGATCAAGTTGCTTTTATTAGAGGTCGCTCCTTATCTGAACATGTTCTTTTGGCCCAAGAAGTGTTTAATAAATTTCGGTACTCTAAAGCTAAAAGTGGTCTCTTGGCTATCAAAATTGATATGGAGCAAGCTTATGATAGTATGGGGTGGCAAGCTTTAAGGCAAGCTCTTATGCATGTTAATTTCCCTAATAAATTCTTAGAGCTGTTAATGCAATGTGTTTTAGACCCCAAATATTGCATTTTAATTAATGGGAGGAAGACCGATTGGATCCTAGGCAAAAGTGGATTTAGACAAGGTTGTCCCTTGTCTCCTTATTTATTTATTTTATGCTCTCAAATCCTTTCGGATGCTCTCTATCTTCATAGATGTGGAAAGGGGATTTCTATTACTCTTAATGCTCCTAATGTTTCTCATTTATTTTATGCCGATGATATTCTTATTTTCTCTAAAGCCATTGTCAAAGAGGTGAAGTTGGTTAAAAAAATTGTCTCCAAATTTTGTAATAAGACCGGACAAACTGTTAATGCATCCAAATCTTTGGTTATTTTTGGAAAACACACTGATAGGAGAAGAATGAACATAATCTCTTCTATTCTTCAATACAAGGTTGTGAAGGAATTTTATTATCTTGGTGTTAAAATAACATTAAGAAGGAAGGTTGTATCAGATTTTCAAAATCTGATGGAGGTGACTTCCAATAAGTTGAACACATGGGGAAAGAATTGTATTTCTTTGGAAGGGAAGCTTGTTCTTGTAAAACATGCGTTTCTTTCTCTTCCAATGTTTTTATCTTCTATAACTCTTGTTCCTACATCAATTCTCAAAGAATTTGACAAAATGTGTATAAGTTTTCTTTGGAACAAGAGTAATGGAAGTAACGGTTTGCATTATGTGTCTTGGGAACTTTTATGCAAATCAAAAAATGAAGGAGGTAGGGGTTTGTTCTCTGCTGTCTCCAGGATTGGTCCGCTTCAAGCTAAATTCGCTTGGGAATTTATCAAAAAGCCTAATTCCATACTCAATCAGATTATCAAAGGCAAGTATGGTAATGATACATGAACTAAGATAGCAAAAATTAATTGCTCTCCTACTTGGAAAATCATTACTAATGGGGCTTCTTATCTAAAAAAGATTGTGAGATGGAAAGTAGTCAATGGGAGATCTATTAACTGGATGCATGACACATGGATTCTTGATAAAAACATTTATAAATGGCCTACGTATGTTAACATGCTGGATCCAGTAGAAAGCTATCATGCGCAGCAAACTCAAAGGACATGGCACACA